AAGAACAAATCGGGCATGAAAGAAACGTCTCATTCTATCTGAGTATGCTATGTTAAAGCCGTAATTTACGTGATTTTCAGATATTTCCACTTGCTATCCTATGCATTGGTCGAGCACTGTCTCAATTCAAATTCCTATAATTATTTTTCTAAGATCGACTAGCTACGTTTTTGAGTCTGTACAGTTCAGTGTAAGTTTCATGTCGCAAAAGTCAAAATTATTTTCGCGTCTGTTATTGTCATTTTAACTCTTTCTGCAGTGGATCAAAGGCTCCGCCTTAACTCGTGTTAACAATTCAAATTAAAACGATTGAGAAAAACTTGTTCCGACTTGTTACAAAGTGAATTTTGACGTTGTTTTAAATTGTGAACTTGGGGAAAAAAAACACTCTAGTGAATAGCAGAACTTTCTTTGAAGTATGTGAATGATCCAGTAACAGGCAAAGGCACACTCGATCGGGCCAACAACGCACTGCCGGGGCTTATCCGGTTTTCCGTACTATGGATGCTAGTCGCTCGCAGGTTACCTCGCGCATTTCAGTCGCCATCACCCATTTTTTACTCCTCCAAGCAACCGTGATAGTATAAAAGTGTCTTGCACAAGGAACACCACACAGTGCTCCCTGCCAGCGCTCGAACCATGATCGCTCGCTCCTAGTGCAACGCAGCTAACGTAACAATTCAGTGCTCCACCTCAAATCTCCAGCTACATTCATTCAATTCATTGTCGTAAAACAGTTTTGTGTGTTTGTGAATCTCGATAATAGCTCTGTGTGAGCGGTAGTTGTTTCACCAAGTTTTTCGTCAGCCACTAAAGATTCGGATTGTAATGTTCCTCTTTTTGTGGGGGTTTTTTCCCCCCCCCCCCACCGGTTTGAGTAAGCATTACATGACGTCATCAAACGTTCCAACAGGCGAGAGTTTCTGTGAAAAAGATGTCATTGGTATATATTTAGTGTGTTGGATTTCTGAGGAGTAAATTAGTCTCCCTACGGATGCCGTTATTTGGGTCGTCACGCAACTCCTCCCCGCAGCATCAAACCGGAAACTCCGCCCGGCTTTGTTTTCGCCCGAAAACTTACGTCATTGGGACATTTGGTATATTAAAAAAATGTTAAAAAAAAATAAAAGGATCAAGCATCCCCGTCACTTTTATATGGTAGTTCCCCCCTCCCCCTGTGGGGAGAACATGCAGGTGTGAGTGATTAAAAGTGAGAGGGGAGGGATAAAAGGAGTAGGGGTGGACCGCTATTTTAACTGACGTAGTCATCAGTCCAAGCTACTATGATATCTTACCAAGGCCATATTTCTGTGTGACTTGGTGACCTGAAGGATCGGTCCCAACTGCTTAGGGTCTCCCGCGAGGTGCACCATCTGACCGCCCCTGGGATTATTAGGGTCCAGGAGATCCGCCACAGGAATAATGGCACTCGGGTTCTGTTGCGTTGCCCTGCCTCGTCTATGAAAATGTGCGTGAAATGAGCGCGGGGAAACACGGCTGAGACCAACCTGGGGAAAAATGTGCAAACGGATACTTTCATGATTGATCTCAGTGAGTATATAGTTGTTTACTGGTAAACCCATCTTATAAAAACCAATGCACGTCAGTCTCTACTGAACGCAAGCTTGAAAGACTTTTGTATTAAATTGTCGTTGGCTAATGATTTGCGGATGGTTTTCAAACATGTTTCAAATTCCTACGACATTTTTCTTAATATCATACACGATAAAATCGTAAGCAAGTTGTAGGTTTGATTTACAACACGAAATTAATTCGTGTCGTAGGCTTGTGCGTAAGCATGTCGCATGCGACAAAGTTGGTTCCGTCTAACTCGGCCCTTACAATCTTGCCACTTACCCTTCCAGGCGGTTTACGCACCAGGGTGGTGACGATTATGCGATTAGTTGCCGTATAAAAAGAAAAAAGTCCTCTTTAGACGGATAAAATACGTCATGCGACACTGAGTCCATATTCAACCACTCGGGCATCCTGTTAATAAAAACATATATGATACTTTAATTTTAAAAATAGTGAATGGCGGGGTTATTTCAGAACAGAAATAGAAAATCAATTGCCGTTTTTCATAAAATTACAAAACAACACAAAAAAACCCCGACATAATTCAAAACTTAAGAAAAGTCTCGGATCCTTCGAACGAAGGGGTTACTGTGCTCGAAAACGACGAAAGAAAAACGTCAGCTTTTAGAATTTGCCACGGGCTGGCTAACTTAATTTACCCCGTAAGAAATTTTCTATTTTTATTAAAAAAGGCGTATTTTGTCTGGCAAAAATTAAACAGCATTTTTGCCATTTCTTGGAGGAATATTGAAAGTCTAAATTCATGCCTGGTTATTTCTTATTTGGCAAACAATTATTTTTTTGAAGAAATAAACCGTAAAAGGTGATACTGTGTTTTGATGTACCACCAATTTCTCAGTAGCTAACATTGGAAAAAAATCTATGGCAATCCGCACTATTGCGAATTAACGTTTTGAATACAGTGCGGGACTGAAAGTTAAAAGGTATAGAAGTTTCACCTTTGCGAGATCACGTATTACTAAGTTACTTACTCTTAGCTTTTTGCGGCCACAAAGTCCGCAGGGTCTTGATGCAGCGTAACAATATCCGCAATAGTTTTGCCTTTATCGACGTGATCCAACAGGGCCGCTCAGCCAAACAGGTCAGCGGCCAATCTGTTTTTCTGGCGCAACAACGACGCAAGAATGAAACTTGAATCGATTCAGGCCTGTGTACCTGCATGTGGCAAACAACACACGTTTTATCTATTTCACGAAGCTGTTGTGAAAAATGGCTAGGGTGAGGGTAATCCGGCGTACCTGTTCGGGGTCACAATTCGTGGTTTGGTACCGCTTTAGTTGTTTAAATCCAACAATGGACCACCGGGGTTAAAGTCAATGATAGCGGTACCTTTTAGGATACGCGGTTTGGCCGTATGATTAAGCCCGTATATGACAAGAAACTCCACGAAATTTTGTTTTAGACTTGGTAGACCTCTTATGGCTAATCTCGTACCCAGACTTCAACGGTCTCCTCGGTCAGCGGGTCGTCGCCAAGGTTTAGACTCCTGGGGGAATGGAATAATCCGACGTCGAATATTATCGAATTTTTGATTGGCTGTCTTCGTGTAACAAACAATGGCCGTTACACCAGATTTCTGGTATTCAAAATCCCATTCCCCGATAGTCTAACCTGGCGACGACCCGCTGACCGAGGAGACCGTTGACTCTGGGCACGAATTTGCTCTTAATGGGGGAAAAAGATGTCAAGCCACGCCCAATATTTCTTCAAAATTTCCGCCGATCACCCCGGGAAATGAATATTCCTGTTTGCACCATAGACCAAGTGAGGAGAAATAAAAAAGACATAATCATGACCTGTTTGATAGCCTCCTCACAGTAACAGTCTTTTCCTGTTCCGGGGGGTCCAAACACGAGGTACGGAGGCAGGGCGTGACGATCCTGACAACAATCTTCTGAACTGCTTGCTGTTGTTCGCTGTTTAGATTACGATCGTAAAACAATCTGAAAAATTTCAAGCTAAAAACGCACTTTTAAATGTAGTACTTTGTTGTTATCTTCTTATTTCTTAATGATTATTTTCAAACAAATAACCGTGTAATCTATATTCCTGCTGTCGCAGTATCATTATCCGTCCAGAATTTCATATTTTATGCAATAGAAGATCAAGTATGTTTATTTCAGTGTCTTGAAACATGATGTCAATGGCGGTGAACATAATAACTAATAGGATCACTTGAATGAATTCGTTCACTGAACGACGTCCCGAAATGTTTTGCCCAGGCCTCAGCCAAAACGAGAACGAGAGTGGCTGAAAGTTAAAAGGAAGAGAGTTGCACTAGAGTTTTTCTTTAAACTTTCATTATCCGCGAGCCCGGAGAGGCAACTCTCAACGACTCTCAAGAACAATTTGAGCAGGTTCAAATTCCCTGAGAACGCACGAGCGTCAACGCCGCAGAGCGCATGAGAGTTTCAGGCCAAACGAGAGTGCGAGTTTGCTAGTTTTGAACTCTTGTCAATTGTCGTTCTCGTTTAGCCCGGGCGCCAACCTTATTTCCCAACAATCCCTTACCTAGACTTGCTTATTAATCTCTATCTTTGATCGAGACACTCCTCCTGCGGGAAAAGAACATGGCCCCATTTTCCTGTCTCGTCACTGATGTAAATGCCTCTCACATGCGCGGTGTTTCCATGCTGTATACTGGAAGCCGGTTAAATTGGGTGAACTGGATGTCGAAACAATTCCCCTTTCACATACGGCATACTGGAGAGAAAATACACGTGAGAAAAGTTAATATCTTCATCAGTGTTGGATCTGGAGAGCTCTACAGCTACAATTCCTTGGAAACGTACCTGCACGTACAACCGATTGCACCACCCCTTCCCCTGGACAGTACATGCGAAACTAACATGAAGTAACAACTCGGGGGCCTCTCGCTTCTCGCGCTATCACTGTCCAGTAAACGCGAAGGCTCTTCAGGGGAACGCCGGTACGTCCTGCCCCTAATTAACTAGCGAAAGCATCTGTTCGCTGAGGCTACTAATTAACCTCAATTACATTTATTACGTACTCGTTTCGATCAAACCCAAGGTTTCACATCCAACATTTGCACTTTTGTGCACAATTCCTTCCTATCGCCGCTTTAGCATCCCAGGTTCGTAAGCTATAGATTTTGTCACCGCGAGGCAACACGGACGGGCGGTTTTCTGGCAGGCCTGGTACGCTAAAAATGATAATGAAAAGTCTAGATAATCTTGAATCCAAAATCCGCGTAATACATTTTTGTTATTAGAATCCAGTGTTGGACAGTAGAATCAGAATCAAAATCTCGCAAAACGCCCGCGGCGATAAGAGCACGGTAATACATGTATGGAAAGAATCGATGTGTTAGTAGAAACACAATGAGAAATATATTTATTCATATTTAGTGACGGCAGCTTACTCGGAAAGATATTCCCGAGTTCTTCCAACAGGAGTCGAACCGCTTTGACCTTCCACACTCCGGTGAGACGCTCTACCACTGAGCTGACAGGAGACTCGTGGGAAGGACTTCGCATATAACTCACTCACTAAGGTGAGAAACCGTCTATCTCCTCTTTCCTGTTGAAAAACAACTCCTTTCATGTCGTAATTCCTGATGTCCTTTTGCATTTGAAGCTGCTTCCCCGTCCAGAAGCCATGACTGAACTTTTCCTTTATAGTTGTCGAAATTCAACTTCTTTTCCAATCGCTCCCTAAAACCAAAAAAGCAGGCGAGCGGTCAATGTTGGACAAGGAGAAAACTGACATTAAATCAGTTCGTCCATATCCTATTCAATTTGCAATAACTCCTGCTTCACATGTTAGCCACAGGCTTATGCGCACAAGAAATAGAGCTGAACCTCATGCCGCAGAGATTTCTCGTCGGTTCAGCTGTACGACAAAAAAGTTAAATAAACATATCAGTTATTAGAACAATGTGACCGGATTTTGAGTCCTACTCAGCAGCGGGGGGGGAGGGGGGCAGGAAAAAAGCATCTATTCACTTGTTGCTTTTGATTTGATAGCCTGTTCCAGGCTAGCTCTCAGATTGTGGGGCGAAATGAGGCGAACTGGGGCGGGAGAAGGGATAAAAGGAACATCTGTGAAATATATTACGTTTTAACTCATTGAGTATGTTTTGTTTCGAAGCTGCTGATATATAAAGTTTGGCACTAATGCTATTGGAGAAATTCCTTTACCTGACGAGGGAATTCCACGGGTCATACTCTTCACATTGACAGAATGTTTTATTAACAAGTCAGGATTGCATTGTTCTGTGGTGCGCTTGTTTAACATAACTGCTATTTTTCTAAATGCTTTACGCATACTTTTACTCACCTTTTGGGGGGGTGAATACAAGACATTGTAAGCCAACTTATCAATGGAGAGAATTAGATGCTGAAATCATTCCGGCGTCAGTTTTTTTTTTATGAATAAGCGAGTTTTGTATT